GCGTGTGTGTGTGCAGATGTGTCACAAAGGATTAGATTTACAATGAGATTTAAAGATGAAGCCAAGTTAGAGAATTAAGCGAAGCCTCCCTGAGCTGCTAACTTGGTTCCTGCAAAGAATCTGCAGCTGTAGATGGGGCCGTAGGTGGCTTTCGGGAGCACACTGTTTAATTGAGGGTGACAGAGGAATGCAGTCCCAGCTAAGCTCCAGGTCACAAATGCACCGTGGCTCAAGTCTGCACAGCTGGTTCATTTTAACCTCCCTGCCTGAGGTCTTTTTAGGGAGACGCATGTTATCTCTGGCAGTTTTGGCCTTATCCGTAGGCTGTGCTGAAGTTTCCTGACCCAGGTAGCAGGAAGGGTGAGGGGCTTTTCCCTTCCTGTGTCCCCTTCACGTCCCTGCCTCAATGCTGCCTCACCTCCATGGTGAGCTGGCCCTGGCAGTAACCAGTGCCTGCCCTCCACGCTTAGCGCGCAGACCGGCTGGCCTTGTTCCTAGTGTAGAACTGGAGTTGGAAACATCCCCAGTGTGTGCTTGCCCCTGAGGGTCTGGGCCGTGCAGTGGTCTCCAGGACCACACCCCGTCATCATGCCTGCTGCTTGGCAAGGGCGGGTGGTGCCTCTCAGATGCTCGGGGCCGCAGTCAGGAGATGGCAGCAGAGGGGAGACTTGACCCCAGTGACGGTCAAGAGGGAAATGTGCTTAAAAATCACAAAAACGTGGGTACTAGGTTTGGTCAGTGTCTTAGTCAGGGTTTCTATTGCTGTGTCCATGACCATGGCAACTCTGATAAAGAAACCATTTAATGGAGGCTGGCTTACGGTTCAGAGGTCCCGTCCATTATTGTCGTGGCGGGTGGCGTGTGGGCAGACACGGTGCTGGAGAAGGAGCTGAGAGTCCTGCATCTTGATCTGCGGGTCAACAGGAAGTCAGCACACTGGGCACAGCTTGAGCATGAGACCTCAAAGCCCGCTGCCACAATGACACACTTCCTCCAACAAGGCCACGCCTCCTAGCCCCGTGCCACTCCCTATAGACCGAGGATCCAAACAGGAGTCTGTGGGGCCAGTCCTGTTCAAACCACCACAGCTGGTAACCAGAAGAGGTTTCTTGGAGGTCAAGCTTCATACAGCATTCTGGAAAGGGCAGGGCATTTATTCTGTTGAGCCTTCAGCCCCCTGGTGTACACGCCCCTCCCTGGAATATGCTCCTCCCCCTGGGTGTACACGCCCCCTCCCATACCCTCGGCCCGCCCCCACCCCCATTCCTATCTTTCTGGCGTCCCTTTAGCTCACAAAATGGCCAGATTGCAGAACTTCTCACTCCTCTGCTGACAGGGGCCCGGCCTTCTGCTTCCTGGGCTGCATCACAGTGCTGTCTTCACCCCCGGGCAGACCTCTCTAAAAGCACTGTTTGTCCCCTCTCTCTGGAAGAAGGCCCTGGCTCTGTGTGTGCCAGGCTTTGCTGTGGCCAGAGCCCCCAAGAGCTTCTCCTGAGCCTGTCTGAGTGACGGGAAGGTGGGAGACACAGATCAGCTTCACACCGATCCCCTCTGCTGGCTCCATGGCCTCCGAAAGTTATTGAATGTCTGAGAATTCTCTCCTTACCTCTGAGTGGAGAGCTCGGGAGAGCTGGCCACACGGGGGGGGGGGGGCTGGGGGGGGAGGGGGCGGGGCGGGGGAGGGGCGTGGTATGGGGGGCAGTGAAAGCTTCCGCAGTGGCTCACACGCCCCATGCTCCCCATGAGCTCCGTGAGGGCTGGTAGTGGCACAGGTGTAGAGCTGTGTGCTGTGTTTGAAATGTAAATTTAGGGACACACAAGGCTCATTCCTCTTAGGCAGTTTGGAAGTGATTCCGAGGATGGTGACTGACATGCGAGCTTGCCGCATGCCGCCCGCGGTTGGTGGGCTTTGGTCACAGCTGAGTCTTCCGTCTACCTGAAGTCTCAGGTGTGGGCAGCGGACGCTGGGCTCATCAGCCCCTGGGGTCGGTATCGAGCCCGCATCTCAGCAGCCCGGAAGCTTAGCTCCTTCCTCTTCTGGTCTCTGCAGACGGTGCCAGAAGCTTTGTGTGTGTGTGCATGTGCGAACACGTTCCACGTGTGTACGTGTAGAGGCTGGGGGTTGATGTGGGGTGCCAACCAGTTTCTTTCCACTTTACTTTTAGAGACGGTGTTTCTCACTGAACCCGGGGTTTGCCGGTTCTTAGGGACGCTGTCTGTGGTTCCCAAAGATCTACCCGTTTCTGTCTCCCCAGCCCTAGGATTGATAGGCGCCGCCGGGGGTCACATCTTAGCGAGGGGTGGGGAGAGAACGCAGGTCCCGTGAACCCACGGAGCTGCTTCCTCACCCCGGCCTCTTCTGCTGTCCCGTCCTGGCTGTTTGCTTTTTGAGTTCTTAGAGATCTCCAGTCATTAGTAGAAGGATTGGTTTGAGTGGAGACAATGACATTGGGTGTCAGCAGACTCACACCTTGGGACGGACTGCCTCCCCTTCCCCACAATCCCTGGGACTCCCCCCAGGACTCCTACTGGGACTCTGTTCAAACCAGAAACTGGATGGGGGATCACATGGGTAACTGAGTGAATGGTGAAACTCCGTGGCTAAGAACACTGGCTGTTCTTCCAGAGGACCCAGGTTTGATTCCCAGCACCCACGAGGCCATCCAGGGATCCGACACCTTCTTCTGGCCTCCTCAGGTCCCAGGCACAAACGTGGTGCACCAAGAGACGGGGGCCAAAACACCCATACCCGTGCGTGAGATAAATAAATCTTAAAATGTGAAATTCACCATGCTTCTTTTTGTTGTTGTTGCTCCTTTTAGTCTCTGCCTTCTTCTTCTTCTCCTTCTCCTCCTCCTCCTCCTTCTTCCTTCTCCTCCTCCTCCCCCTCCCCCCTCCCCTCTCCGAGCTCATCAGTGTGCCTTTTAACCTGTTTGTGGATTGCTTCAAGTTACTGAAGGTTCCGAGCCCGGGTGTTCAGCCTTTCCCCCACTTCTGTGAGGACGTCACTGACGTGTCCCGACCCAGCGCCAGACGGGGCACAGCTGGCACAGGGGAAGCCACCTCCTGATCAAGACAGCCAGGGCAGCACTAGCCTCACCCAGACAATGAATTCCCGTCCTAGCGCACTGAGCATGGCTGGCAGCTAGTGGAGGACTTCTGCCGTGCTGCCCTCAAGCCCTGGCACCCAGAATGCTTGGCGCTTTCTCGAGAGGGCTGCTCTTCCACTTATGACCAGGTGTGATAGTCCATTTGGGGTTCACATGCCATCCTACAGAAGCACCCCAGTTCCAGGCAGACATCTCTTGCTACGGTTTCCTCACTGCATGTGGAAGTATCTTGTTGTGGGATTCCTGCCTGGGTTCCCATCGCCGCTTCAGAGCCCCCCAAATAACACACAGACACTCTGTTATTTACAAAGCTGTTGGCCAATGTCCAGGGCTTCTAATTGGCTAGCTCTGTCTTAAGTGTTAACCAATCACTTACTAATATATATATATTTTATGGTCTCATCTTGCCGAGAACCCAGACTCAAGCGTCTTCTCTTCTCAGGATCACATGGCGACTCCTACTCCATTTCCCAGAGTCCTCCTTCTCTCGTAGTCCCACCTATCTGCTTCCCTACTGGCCAACAGTGTTTTACTCATCAACCAATAAGAAAGACATATTTACAGAATGACACCTCCCATCAGTATCTCTCTTCCCATTTTGTATTTCCTGTCTTTTTGCATCCTATTTACACGCGTGTGCCCGTGCTCGTGTGAGTTTATGTGTCCCGTGGGCGCGCAGTGCCTGGGGAAGCCATGCCAGAGCCCCTGGAGCCGGTGTTTCAGGAGGTTGTGGCCTGCCCAAGGTGACTGCTGGGGAGAGCAGCGAGCGCGCTCTGGGGGATTTGAACTCTGGTCCTTGAAAGGCAAGCACTTGATCCGCCAAGCCGTCGCCCTGGGCGCTAAAAGCAGGTTTTTGTAGACCTCGTTCCTCACACTCCCGCCAGACGCTTTTGCCATGTGTGGATTTGGGCGTGTGTGCGTACCTGAGTTGTGTACAGAGGTAGGCTGCGTGAAAGGCTAACGTCTCGGGGGCCAGCACCGCCCTAAAAGATGCACCTGCAGGGTCGCTCTTGAAACAGAGGAATCTTGGGTAGCCTGTGCCGTACACTGACCCTTTTCCTGCAGTTGCCTTTAATCCCAGGCATATTCCAGCCGTAGTCTGAATTACCCAACGCGGCTGATGCGGCCGCAGTGGCCCCTGGAGAACTGACTCCGGTCGTCCTTCCAAGCGTCTTAACCCATAGTTCCTGCCTCTCCCCAGGAGCCTGCGAATGGGCCTCATGTGCTTTTGTTTTTTAAAAAATAAGGTCTGGAAGCCAGGCGCTGGTGGCGCATGCCTTTAATCGCAGCACTCTCGGGAGGCAGAGGCAGGCGAATTTCCTTGAGTTAGAGGTCAGCCTGGTCTACAAGAGCTACAAAGAGAAACTCTGTCTTGAAAAACCAAAACCAAAACCAAAAAAGGTCTGGACTTACGAGGTTCTCAAAGGAGTCTACTGTTTTCTCACTGTGGCTCAAGGTGGCCGCCGGACTTAAAGTTCTCCGTGGGGTTGTATTGAGAAGAGTTTAGGGAATCGTCATGTCGTACATAGCTGAATGTGCAGATAACCGTGTCACAGACATCGCCCATCTGTGTGCATCTTCCTCAGAGAATGTGTGCACTTCCCAACATGACCGGGTACATCTCCCTTTTCAGGGTGGCCACCGTCCGGCCAGCTGAGGTCGGGTCTATTTCTTAGCCCAAGGCTGTACTGATTCAGTGTATGAAGCCGGGTCCCCAAGCTGGTCTGGAGTGAGACCTGGTTTCCTGGTGAACCGTGTCTGCAGTGCTAGTCACATCTGCCATGATTTTAAAGATGTTGCCTGCGTGTGTTCGCAGACCTCGTGTAACGGTGTCCTTCTCTCTGGATTGTTCCACAGATTCTCTGTGTCTACCCCTACTGGTACACTGAACCACACGGGGGCCATCTGCCCGACTGCCCCCGACTACGGCAGCGGGGGTCCCCGATGGCAGTGGGCACCTCCCCTTGAAACCTGCCAAGCTGGACACCACAGCCCTGCACGACGACGACACCTCGGCCAGCTCCACGCCCGTCTCTGAGGCTTGCAGCCATGCAGTCATAGCCTGCAGCCCGGGCATCCCCGAAGAGTACTACGTGAGCGAGGCTGTGGAAGATGCTCCCAGCTGCAGAGGGTACCGGGATGCCTGCACCATCACTGGTATGCTGACTTTTTCTCTGCCCGGGACGGGGAAGGGCTTCGGTCCCAGCCTGGGCAAGGCGTGCAGCCCCAGGAGCAGGGCTGGGAGTGTACACTAGTGAGTTTTCGTGTCGTCGTCGTAACAAAACGGCTGACAAAAGCAAAGGGGGAAGAAAGGGTTTGTTTCCGCTCACGGTTTGGAGGGTGCCGTCCACAGCGGTAGGGAAAGCTTCGCCGAGAGCCATGAGGCAGCTGGCCACTTTGCATCCACGGTTGTTGAGGAGAGAAATGAACACTGGCGCTCAGTTCATCACTGTCTCCATTTTCTTTTTGGCTTTTTGAGACAAGGTTTCTCTGTATTGTTTTGGAGGCTGTCCTGGAACTATCTCGGTAGACCAGGCTGGCCTTGAACTCACAGAGATCCGCCTGCCTCTGCCTCCCTAGTGCTGGGATTAAAGGCGTGCACTTTTTTTTTAATGTCTCCTTTCTATCCAGCCCGGGACCCCAGCCCATGGAGTAGCGCTGCCCACAACCTAGGGTTGCTTTTCCAACCTGGGTTGACCCCTTTGAGAATGCCCCTGGCAGACAAACCAGAGGTCTGTCCCCCGGATGACTCTAGAGCCCATCAAGGTGACAGTATGAGCCATCGCAGGGAGGGGGCAGTGACCACCGCAGTAGAGAAGAAGAAGCTGAGGTCAGGGACCTCCCATTCCAGAGCCGTCCTGTTGCTTGGGTGGTCACGTCACCAAACTGCCACAGAACAAAGGCCGAGGACAGCAGCGTGGGCCCCATCATGGTGCTCAATGTGGTCCGGTCCCTTGCCTTTCTCTCTCCAACTCTGTCCCTCCTGACCTGCGTGGGTGTAGTGCGAGCCCATGCAGTGTCATTGCTGGATACAGAACGGGCTCCACTCGGCTGTGTGAGCCTTGGTGTGCGCTCACACTCTCAGCAGTGCTTCTTACTGTGGTGTCCCGGGAGCAGGGGAGCCCCAGAGGATGTCTGTAGTGTGGGCCCTTTGTACCCCAGCTCTGTCTGTCCCCAGGGAGCCGTGAGACACACCTTGGGGCCCCCACCAAGGCGAGAGGCTGTGGATGGACATGGCATGCACATGTCCCTGCCTCTTGGGACGTTTGCCCTGGTTTTTCTCTTTGTCTCGTCTCGTCTTTGCCCTCCTCTCTCATCTTCAAATATTGTCCCAGGACACTTTGTGTTGTACACGCTGGCTTCCCATAGATTCTCCGTTCTAGGCTATCAATTGAGCCGCAAGCGGGACCTCCTGTGCGTTAGGAGTTGCCTGCCTCCTGAGGGGGCATGGAGACAGACGTGGTTCCTAGGTGTGCCAGTGTGTCCTGGGCCTCTCTGCGCTCCTCCGGCCTGCTCCCTGGGGTGTGGCACCTATGGTGGCTGCCCCTAATCCCTCGTTCACCTGTCTGCTGCCTGCAGGACCCAGTGCCAGAAACAGCCCATGTGACATGATCTGGCTTCCTCCTCAGTGCAGAAGCATGCTGGGAACTCCTTGGGAGAATGTCAGTGGGACCTGCAGGCCCATGTCATTACAGGGCGGCTCAGCTAGCTTATTCCAGTTCCCGTGAGAGCTAAGCCTGAGGGGGTGGTGGGGGAGGGACTTCACTCCGTTAAGTTTTTGGAGGCTCCTTATATGTTCTTCAGTCTAGGGCATGGGCCTCCTTGTGGGGCCTTCTTTCGAGTCCTTGAACATAGTAGGGGTGCTATGCAGCTCTGAGCCCTGAGTTGGGAGCTCTCATCTGGATCTCGGTCCTGAGAGTGAGGGAAGGGTGTCCATGTCTGATCCCGAGTGGGACGTGGTGTCTGGAGGTGCTGCGGGGCCCATGCTCTCTGACACCCAGTGAGGCGAGCTGACTGGGGAGACAGAAGCACGGGAGGGAGACAGGACGCACAGGAGGCCATCGAGGACCCGAGCTGGGATTCCTGCCCTGACTCTGCCGGCGGAATCCTGGGAACCCCATCCTGTCCAACCAGTTTCACTTTCTCAAAGCGCGACACTGAAGTGGCCCTGAGAGACTCGAGAGCTTCCAGCCCCATGGGGTGTGGAAACCCGAGGTTCTTTGTTGGGGAATGGCCGGTGGCAGCCCCAGGGGACCACCAAGAGCCACAGTTCATGCCCACGATGCCCAACAGCAGCCTCATACGCAGCAGTGCCAATTCAGGCACCACGGTGCATTTGAAGAGCCGGGCGCTCAGCCTCTGCCGTCCCCTCCCTGCCAAACGAAAGCCTATCGGGGGTCAGTGCAACAAAGACATAAAAACGCAAACGCATTCTCTGGGAGGCCTTGGACGTGCCCCAGAGCGCTTTGCTGAGTCTGAGAGCTTTGCCAAGCCCAGCCCTGGGACACTGCCTGGCATGGTGCCCCTGCCCTCGCTTCCCAGGGAGTCCTGAGAACAGAGGCTTTCTGTTCTACTCCACATTTTAGGCAGGCTAGCCGCCCATCAGAGGCCTCGTCTCCCTGCTCCCCCGTTCACCCCACCCTAGAGAGAGGTGTCGTGTTGTGGGAGCGCCTCTTTCTGTTTGGGGTGGTTTTATAAGATGAGGCGATAGGGCTCCTGGGCTGCTGGAGTTACGTAACCCGCTGTGCGTCCTGGGCAGTGCAGGATCAGCTCTGCCCCAACAAGCAAACTCAGAAAAGTGCTGAGGAAGGCGCAGAGCCGTGGCCAAGCTTGCATGGCGGACTGCTCTTCCTTGGAGTCCTCCTTGGAGTTTGCATCTGCCCATGGCATTGGCCCTTCAGCTCAGGCAGCCCTCCAGGGCCCAGCCTCTGCCAGGAGTCTGCCACAAACTGGCTGGGACAGACCAGTGTGGTAAGTGTGCTTATGGGAGCTTCCGCTGTAAATTTGCTTTGCGGAGCAGCCAGAAGGGAGGAAAGAGCAGAGGGACTTGGTTTCACTGTGGCTTCAGTTGCTGGTGGCTTCAGGAATCACTAGGTTAAACGATGAGCCAGTGGAGGGGCCCTGGAAGCCTCCTTCCTATTCCTACACCCCTATTACTAGGTTCAGGGGAGACCAGTAGGTAATATAAGCCAGGTGCAAGATTCAGGCCTGTTCCTTGCTGGCCGGGGTAGGGTGGATCAATAAAGCCTCTGTTCCCAGGTCTGTATTATGTCTGCTGCCCCTTCCTCTTCCTCTGCCTCTTCCCTCCCTTTCCTCCTTCTCTTTCTCCCACTTTTCTGGTTTTTTTGTTTGATGGTTTGTTTTTGAGACAGGGTTTCTCTGTGTAGTCCTAGCTGTCCTGGAACTCACTCTGTAGACCAGGCTGGCCTTGAACTCCTGGAGATTCGCATGCTTCTGGGCACTGGGATTAAAGGCGTGCTCCACCACTGCTGGCTTCTCCTCTTCCTTTTCTCACTGCTCAGGATCACGCGTTCTAGACAAGCGCCGTCCCTAGCCCACCTTCCCGTTTTTAAACAGTTTTACATTCTGACCGTCTCACGAACACTCTCAGGCCGACCTTGAACTCTCTCTGTCGCTCAAGCAGGCCCTGAATTTCCGTTACCCTGCCTCGACCTCTGCATTTAAGCAGTCCTTCTCCTAGTGTCTTGGAGCCCAGGCTGGCGTCCTAGTTCCGCAAGGCTTTTCAAAGGTGAAGGGCAGAGCTGCTCAGCGTTCCCCTCCCCCACAGCCTCGTGTCTGTGGTACCACAGTTGGGCACTGTGACTGTGGTCCCCCACACCCTGACAGAGCTTTACGCTGGCCTGCTCTGGCTTGTTACTTGCTGCGGGCTTCTCGCTTCCTCTGAGTGGATCAGGCTCAAGTCTGACAACGGGGTGACCCATCTGGCTTCCTGTCTACACTCCAAACCCTCCTGTCTACACCCCAAAGTTCCAGGGAGGTGTGGGCTCTTCTTGTCCCTTACCAACAATTTCAGGTTTGTAGACGTTTAAATCACCGTGAGCCTGATGGCCCTTTATAAAGCCCACAGTCTTCCTGGTGCCAGGACACTGATCCCCCCCCAGGACTCAGGACCAGCTTCATGCTGGGGTATCTGTTAGTTTACGGGGTATCTGTCTGTGTTCATTTCTGGGGTCTCTCAGTAAGAAATGGCCCCCCTCAAAGCCCAGAGGTGAGCATGGGTGTGTGTGAGCAGCTGTACACCTCCCAAAACAACTAAGAACTTCCCAGGGACAGGAAGCGTCTGGTATCTGCCCTGCCTGAAGGAGACCACACTTGGGCTGGGAGACAGCTTAGTCAGCAAAGTGCTTGCCTCTCAAACACCATGGCGTGAGTTCAATTCCCAGAGCCCACATGTGCAAGCCAGGTGTGGTGGCGCACACTGAATGCTCTCAGAGCTGGGGAGGCAGAGACGGGACTCTCACTGGGGCTTGCCCGCCAGCTCATCTAAATGAACCGACAAGCCCCAGGCCAATGAGGGGCCCTGTCTGAAAAGCCAGAGAGAGATGCAGGCTGACTTCTGGCCATGGTGGGAACATGTGCGTGCATGCATGTATACACAGGTTAAAACAAAACAGCCAAAAAATCCAGCCCCCACTACCCGGAAGTAGCCGCACGAGGAACTTGTCCCTTGTCACTGACTTAACCCACAAGACATGGCCTCTTACCTGACTCAGACTCGCTCAAAGAAAGCATTGGCTTTCCCGCATGGTTCATTAATTTAGCTCAGGTATTGTTTAGTAATTCCAGCAGTTTTATGTTAAAGCTTCCCTTTGAAGAGTTATTATAATCTAAATGATCCTTACTTGGCTATGCGTGAGTGAAAAGTGGGGTGTCTCTTGTGGAGCCGATGAGAAGCTGAGACCTACAATCTGGGGGGATTCCTAGGATTTCCTGAAGTTGTAAATCAGGAACTGTGTCTGCTCTTTCCCTCCCTGGATCGCCCCGGCCTAGTGGCCAGCTTCTGCAGACAGAACAGAGGATGGAGGTCCTTCTGTGAGTCTCGTGCTGATTTCTGGAGCTGAAGTCTGACCTTTGCAGAGACCGTTGCTTCCTGTCCTGTCCCTGGGATGATGGACAAGGTGCTGGCCACACGGGGT